GTGACTTGCGCAGGGTCACACAGCTAGAAGTATCTGAGACCAGATTTAAACTCAAATCCTCTGATTCCAGGCACAATTGCCTAATCACTTTGCCACCTAGCTGGCAGAGAGGAATATGCTCTCCAGAGGTGCTCACCACTGTCATGAAGAATGTCCAGTGCTGAATCCCAATGGAAATGAAATTCCTTATTGATGATGAAGTGCCTCGCTTCTCCCAGCCCCCAAGATATAGTTTGTAAATCAGCACAAATGTGCTGATTGCCATCAAGCTCCAGAACATTGCAGAGCCTCCTAAATGAGATCATAGTCACTCAAAAGAGCCTGGCCTTACTATTCAAACAGGAAAAACCAAGTGGATGAAGAATGACTATCTCCCAAACTACATATTCTTATGCAGATAGATGGGTGATCTAAAGAATTGGTCCAACAGTACATATATCTTGGACTGACACTGCTCCTGGGAAAATGAACTGAATAGGAGAAAGGAACAGGCTTCAATACACATAGTGAATTGTGTGGCATTTGACCCCAGGCTTTTCCCTGAAACAGAGCCCCATTTTTAAAACACCAATATTATTGTTAAATAATATTGCTAGAGGGCGGTCTGTGATAAATGGAAAAACAAAATCTCTGAGGAATCAAAAGTTTCAGTTCACCCAGAAGGCAATGGGAGTGGTGGTGATGGCGGTGGTGTTGGTGGTGGTGATGGTGGTGCAAATATGATTTGGAATATTACCAATGGGGAGTAAGAGACATGGAGTGGAAGAGGAGGTAGGTTGGACACATAGAGAATGATAACAAATGGAGAGTTTTCATGGTCCATCAGTATCTGTAAAATGCCAGGGGATCTTGAGAGCTTTCTTACCTTTATATATGGGGTGGGCCTTGAGAGTGTAGATAAGAGGCCCCTAAGAGGAAAAGATTTAGATGGGCTGTGTTTTTGAGTAATGGAGAAACAATCCACAGGGATGAGTTCATCATTGGAATATTGAAGTATTAAAAAAAATTTCCTATTTTGGTTTTTTTTTGAAAATAGAAATATGTACAATATAGATTTCATTTTCTTTTATGGATCTAATATCATTTAGTTGAGAAATATAAAAATGGACTGTGTATCCTAAAATGATCACATTTAATAAACATAAGGATGTAGTCCATCTCTTAAAAAAACCACCCAAAACAAAACCTAATTCTTTGCCTGTGTGTTGTGGTTGTTTTTTAATTTTGGGGGGCTGAAAATATTTTTTAAGGCTTTGGAAAAGGAGTAGCTAGATGGTACAGTGGATAGAGCAAGGGTCCTGGAGTCAGGAGGACTCAAATATGACCTCAGACACTACCTGTGTGACCCTGGGCAAGTCACTTAACCCAAGTTGCCTCAAAAAAAAAGTCTTTGGAAAAAAACTTGTTTTTTTTTCTTATGATTTTTGGTGTTGTTGTTATCCAATCACTTTTCTGACCTTCACTTAAACAAGCTTGAAGTGGAAATTTTTGAAAGGCCTAGCCTGAAGGAAAGGAGGATGGTGTAATAGAAAGAGCCCTGGACTTGGTCTTAACCGGGCTTGAGTTGGGATCCTATTCTTTTTTTTTTTTTATTTTTTTTAATTTCAATTAATTTATTTTGATTTATCAACAATCACTTCCATAAACTTTTGAGTTTTAAAGTTTTTCTCCCCCTCCTTTTCTACCCCCCTCCCAAGACAGTGTGAAATCTGATATAGGCGATACATATACATTCCTATTAAACATATTTTCACATTAGTGATGTTGTAAGGAAGAATTAGAACCAATAGGAGGAACCACCAGGAAGAGGAAACAAAACATAACAGAAGAAAAAAAATAGCAAATAGTACACTTTGATCTGCATTCGAACTCCATAGTTCTTTCTTTGGATGTGGATAGCATTTTTTATCACGAGGCCTTTGGAGATGTCTTAGATCCTTGTATTGCTGAGAAGGGTTAAGTCTATCAATATTAGTCATCACACAACGTGGCTGTTACTGTGTACAACGTTCTCCTGGTTCTGCTCACTTCACTCAGCATCAGACCATACAAGTCTTTCCAGGTTTTTCTGAAGTCAGCCTGTTCATCATTTCTTATAGCACAATAGTATTCCATAACATCCATATACCACAATTTGCTCAGTCATTCCCCAATTGATGGGCATCCTCTCAATTTCCAATTCTTTGCCAACACAAAAAAAGCTGCTATAAATATTTCTGTACGTGTGGGTCCTTTTCCCATTTGTATGATCTCTTTGGGATACAGCCCTAGAAGTGGTATTTTTGGGTCAAAGGGTATGCACATTTTTATAGCCCTTTGGGCATACCCTTGCAAGGTACTTTACCCCACAGAGTTCAGTGATCTTCATCTGTGTATTAGGCAGTTTTCCTAATTGGGGCAGTATACATTCTTCATGCTCTTGTTTTTCCCAGTGTGGATTGCCAGTCCATTTGCTTTTGAATGGCCATGGATATCATTGAAAAGACTCTGGAGGGGGTCAGGGACTGGATGCAGTCAGTACAAGGTCATCTGCAAGCAGAAGCCACCAGAGGCCCTCAATCATCTTCCACGAGAGTGGCCATGACCTTGGTGAACTTGTTTCTCTGTTCTGTGCCAACCTGGTGTCGATAACTAGAGTTCATTAAACATCGTTATCTCTGTGCTTGCTGCTATCAAGGAATCTCGTATGATCTTTGCTTGGGTAACATCTTGTTGGAGATGTGCCTTAAAAGATGAAAGGGCTAGGCTTAAGGTTCCTTATCTCAATGGTCTCCAAATTGTTTTCTTTTGATTGTGTATTCCTAGCAGTAAACAATTTTTAAGCATGACCCTGATATGTATATACTAACTTTTCTTTGTAAGTTGTATGCATGTGTCCTGACTGTATTAATATTTATGTCCATCATAAAACTTTCACAAAAGCAGAACTTTAAAAAGGATGAGATCCAGATGAAATAATAATTTATGCTAGAGTTCATAGGGAGCAGCAGGAGTTTATTGAGGCTTTCCCCAGACTTCTTTAATCTTAGTGCCGTCTCTTTGTGATGACCCCTGATTTATCCTGTCTACATCTTGTACGTAGTTGGTTGCGAGTTGTCGCCCCAATAGAACGTAAGCTCTTTGACAGCAGAGACCATGTTTTCTGCCTTTCTTTGTATCCTCAGAGCTTGGCACAATGTTTGGCACATATTACATGTTTATTGATGGACTAAGAGGATGACGCGGTCAGAACTGTCCTTTAGGAAAATCACTTTGGCAGCTGTGGAGGAGGGTACAAGACCGGACATAGTGGGACTACTTAGATTTTTGCAATAGTTCGGTGAGAAGTGTTGAATGTCTGAATTAGGACAGCGGCCACATCAGAGTGGAGTGGACATTCAAGGAATGTTGTGGAGATAGACACAAGAAGATTTGACAAGTGAATGGACCGAATAGGAGTGAGATGTTGAGTTTGTTACTAACCATGGGAACCTTAGTGGCTGGAAGGAGAGGGGTATGTTTTTGGCATGTAGTAGGCAGCTAGGTGGCAACATAGGGCACAGAGCGCCAGGCCTGGAGTCAGAAAGACTCATCTTCCTGTGTTCAAATCCAACCTCAGGCACTTACTAGCAGTGTGACCCTAGGCAAGTCTCTTAACCCTGTTGGCCTCAGTTTCCTCAACTGTAAAATGAAATGGAGAAGGAAATGGCAAACCACTCCCATATCTCTGCCAAGAAAACCCCAAATGGGGTCACAAAGTCAGATAAGACAGAAGCAACTGAACAACAACAAAGGAGCAACATCTTTCATGTAGACTAGGCTGGTTTTTCCTTTTAAAAGTACCGAAATTATCCTTGAGACTTAATTGGCCCAGGGGACCAGGGCTTTGGAAATGGATGCAGCTTCCCAATGACTCAAGCCCACAAAGCCAGTGAGTGAAGAGATGAGAGTTTCCTCCTCAGTCTTAGTGACAGACCAGGATGACCAACAAAGAGGCCGGCAAATTATATCCTAAACTGAATCAATGTTATGTTCTGGCTGAATATTCTTTCTCTACTAGGGCTGATTAAAACTCTTTTTCTTAGCTGTTAGATATTTGATGAATATCTCCTTTTGCTCTGATCTTGAACCCAAACAAGTCAGTCTGGTCTGAGTCAGGCTTTAATGAACTCTCTGATGCAAATAGCAACCCACTCATGCTTGCTCCTCTGGTATAGTTTATCTCACTGAAAATGAAAGGGTGGGGTCCTTATTTACTGACCACTGTCCCTTACAGAGTTGGTCCATTTCCCCTGCCCGCCCTGCCTCAGCCTGCCCTATCTGTCTGCCTATAGTAGACCTGAAGGGCCCAAAGTCAGGGAAGGCCAATGAGGGGAGCTATGGTGGAGTATTCATCAACAAAGGTTTTAGGGGTCTGTTTAGTTATACTAAAGATGAGCCCACGAGTGGCTATCATGGCAAGGTGAGATATGCAATCCCAACTTGAGAGACTACTGTCTCCTACTTTAGAATCGTATGATTTTTGAAGCTGGACCAATAATTTTGATTTCTGTTTCTCCTCTCTCCTGTCTTCTCCTCCTCTCCTTCCTACCTTTCCTCAAGCTTTAGACACATTTAGCCACATCCCAAACCCTATTCCTCAGTCTAATAATTTGTCCTTTAGCTGTCTCCCTATCCTCCTTGCCAAGTTAGATTTCAGACACGATTTCCTAATGGGTAGGCTTGGAGGATGATGTGGGAAAGGGGGAGGGGAAGTGGGAGGGAGATACAGGGAGGGTGTGTTTGTTTTTAATGTATGGATGAATTTCCTTTTACCCACGAGAAAGATTCTTGAACTGACAGCATTTGAAGGTATCATCCCTTGGTGGGGGTGAGTAAGGATGAGATGTCCTTTTAAGAATCTGCCAGGATGTTGATGAGTTTAAGATAAGGTGGCTCTCTGAAACCAGATGAGCTCAGTCCAGAAATTGGGTGTTTTTGTGATGTCATCTGAGGCAAGCAATTAGAGGTACTATTCAAAGAAAGATAATTACAAGAGACATAGCTCTCAGCTGGCTAATGGTATTGGAGGTCATAAGGGCCGCGGGACTCAGGGATGCCACCACTGCTCATTGAGCTGCCACCTGCCTGGGATCGGTAGGGGACTGAGGCTAGGTCACAGGCTCAGGGTTCGTCTCTGGCCACTCCAGGGAATCAGGTCAGTGTCTCCTTTAAGAAGAATCATGGTGGGCGAGGTGCCGGGAGGAGGATATGGGATGGGGACAAGGGTATATTCTTGGTGGTGATGGTGGGGTGCCGTTCAGGGATTAGAATGTGCTGTGTGTCTTTGTTATCCCCGAAAGCCAAACTTGGACAATTTCTTACTTTCATGGCGGTGCATGTAGGAGATAGGCCATCTACACTGTGCATCTGTGTAGGTGAGTTAGCTGTGTAATTCAGGGGCCTAAAAATCCAAAACCTTGATGGGTGTGGGACGTAGAGGCCTTCCAGGGAGAGTCAGTCAAGTATCAGTGTCAGAGCTGCCTCTGTTCACAGTCTTGTGTTCGTTGTTGAGGACTGATCAAGAGTTGGTTATGTTGTGCCAGGTACTATGCTAAGTGCTTTACAAAAATCATCTTATTTGATTCTCATAACAACCCCGCGTGGTGGGGGCTGGTATTATCACCATTTTACAGTGAGGAAACTGAAGCAGGCAGACAGTGACTTGCCCAGGGTCATACAGCGAGTAGGTATTGAAGGCTGGATTTGAAATCAGCTCTTTGTGACTCCAGGCCCAGTGCTGCATACACTGTCACCACCTAGCAGATGCTTGGTGAGTCCCAGGTCTGATGGGGGAAATAGTCCCTGTCCTCGAGGAATTCCCGATAACTTAGGAAAAAACACAGTTCTTGTCCTCAGGGAGCTTCTAGTCTAATGGGGGAGAGAAGACTGAGGACAGTCTGAGATGAGAGACAGAGAGTGAAAAACAGAAGCAGAGGATTATAGTGTCCCTGGGTCCATCGAGTGGACTAAGATGAGATTGAGCTGGATTGGCTTCCTGAAGAAGGTCTTTTTTTTTCCCACAAGGTAGGGAAGGACAGAAATGATGGATGGACAGTAGGAGGAAGGGAGGGCCTGGAAGGAGGAGAAGGTGGATCACCAGAGGAAGGGCCAATTCTGGTGTATTTGTCAAACCAGGCCTCCCTCTCTTTCCATGGTCTCCTCTGGTCCCCAGTTTCCCTAAGGGGCCATGTCACCCATTCTTTTTGTCCTTTCTTCTCTTTCAGCCCCTCTCTTCTCTACTCCTAGGACTTTCCTCTGACTCAGATCCTGGTATCGGCCTTCACGGAACATGCCTGACACCCCAATAGAAGACTCTATTTTCCATATCATTCACTGCTATCACCTCTATGCTGCTAGAGAGGGAGATGTGGACACCCTAAGCCTGGACGAGCTCAGTGCCCTGCTCACAGAAAACATGCCCCGATTCATGGAGGGTCTGGTATGACTGGCAGATTCCAGGGGATTCTGGGGTCAGATCCCTGGGGGTAGAGGGAAGGGTGCATTTAGAATGGGACCTCCAGGTTAGTTCTGACTATAAGAAGGTTTACCTTGGAGGGTTATGGGGAAAGCTAGGGGTGAAGAGAGAGGGGTTGGGGGAATGAAGTTGCTCTTCATGAGATCTCAACCTGGTGGGCATAAGCTGTGAATATGTGCCCTAGTCCCACTCTTGACTCTTAAACCCCACCAGGCCCTTTATCCTGATGTTAATTTTATACTAGTTCCTGCCCCTGCTCATCCTTGCCCTTAACCTCAAATCTAAACCTTTTTTCTTGTTCATGCCCCAGGCCCAGCCTGCTAGGCCTGAAATCCCTGCCCTTTCCTGATTCTAATTCAAATCCAGACTCCTTTGAGTTCCATCTCCTCCTTCTGGGACCACCAAACCTCTCAGCCAGCTCCCTAGCCAGACTCTAAAAGCTGCCAAGATCTCTTCTTTCCCTTTATTCCCGGAGGGGAGGGGAATATGAAAGAGATAGGGATAGGCATGGGAAGGGGTTAGGGAATCCCTTTTTCTCTCTGCTGTCAGAGTTCCCGGGAAAGGGACGAGACATTCCTATCTGAGGGCCTGGGGAGGGAGAAGATTGGTTTAGGGATATTCCTACTGTTCCTGAACCTGGGGGCAGGCCTGGCTTCCTTCCTCCCCTTCCTCCCCTTCCTCCCCTTCCTCCCCTTCCTCCCCTTCCTCCCCTTCCTCCAGCCACCCCTTAACTCTAGGAACACAGACGGATTAACCCTAAAGGCCACCCTTCTCCGCCACCCATGAAAGTCTCTACTGAACTTAGAACCAATTTCCAATCTCCATTTCCTTCAGTCTCCTTCCGCTCTTGTTCTGTCATCAAGCCAAGTCCAGCTCAGCTCCTTAATTAAGCTAATGAGCAGGTTCCTCAGGAGCTGCCTGGAGTCTGCCGGCTGTCCCAGGATATTTATTTAGTTTCCTGACCTCTTACCTACTGTCCAGAGGCTTTTGGAGGTTAACTAACCTTTCCAGAGGTGTTCCTGTCAGGAAAACCTTATAGCCATCTACCTTATAGCATCCATTTTAAGCCTCTTTCCCTCAGTTTCAGCCAAAGAAAGTGGGAGGTGGGGGGAGGCACAGCCTGGCTGGGAGTGCTAGCTCTGAGAGTCCTGGATGGGGCATAATAATGGCTAGTGTTTATATAATGCTTACAAATATTATCTCATTTGATCCTCACAACAGACCTGGGAGGTAGATGCTATTATTGTCCTCATTTTATAAATGAGGAAACTGAGGAAGGCAGGCATAAGATGACTCGCCCAGGGTAACACAGCTAGTAAGCTGTCCGAGGTAAGTTTTGAACTCAAATCCAGTGCTCTATCCACTTTAGCACAGGCAGGGAAGTCCCTTTACATCCAGGCTTACAGTGGGCTAGTCCTTATCATTTAAGGGTCAAATTACTCATGCTGTTTTAGTATATATATATATACATATATATATATATATATACACACACACACACACACATACACATACATACATATATATACATACATACATATATATCCATCAATTATAACTCATCAATTGGGAAATGGCTGAATGAATTGTGGTGCATGATTGTGATGGAATACTACCGTGCTATAAGAAATGATGAGCTCAATGATCTTAGAAAGGCATGGAAAGACTTACATGACGTGGTGAAAAGCAAAGTGAACAGAATCAGGAGAACGTTGTATACAGTAATAGCAATATTGTTTTAAGAACGACCGAGCAACTAAGTCATTTTGACTATTCTAAATGCACAAACTAAAAATAAAGGACATATGAAGATAGATGCTATCTGTATCTAGAAAAAGAACTGATAAATAGAAGTATTTATAGAATAATTTTACATATATACATATATATATATACATACATATATACACACATATTTATACACACACACCCACACACTCACATATATCTCTATATATACATATATGTGTGTGTGTGTGTGTGTGTGTGTGTGTGTATATATATATATATATATATATATATACACACCTATTTGTATCTAAAAGTTGCCATCTCTAGGGTGGTGAGGGAGGGAAGAAAAAAAGGGGAAAAAAAAGAAATTTACATGACAACTTTGTTGTATATTTAGAAACAATAGCGAGCTGTACATGGTAGATCTGCAGTTTCATGTGCAATCATCTCTTTTTAATTGCACTATGTTACGGAAATGCTTATTTTATTCCATAAATTAAAAATTAATATAAAAAGAAAAATAATAAATGCAAACTAAAAAAAAAGAAAACCACACACACATACACAAAGAATATGTATAGACAGACAGATGGAAAGATATGTCTCTGTCTATGAAATATGACACAGAAATAACAGAATGATAGTGATAGGAGATCAGAGGAGGTGAACCTTAAAGATGGGGTTAAGAGCAGGAATAATGGGACCAGAGAGTCAGATAGAGAACAATAGAAATGCCACATCAAGAATGAGTTTTGGGTGGGGTGAGAGGAAGCCATGAAGTTCATAGCTAATCAGACCAGATAGAATTTCTGGGAGGAGGCAGAAGTGTAGGAGTGGATGCAGATAACCAGCACTTGCCAAGAATGGGGAAGAGAACCAGGACATGTTTTTCTATTACCAGTGACATAAACCTCTAGGGATTTGCCTGTCACCACACTCCCTCTTTCTTCCTCTGACTCTTCAAGGCTAAACTCTAAAACTTCATGGCTAAACTCCTTGACACACCTGTTACTTGTCTTTCTCTTGTCTGCCTTAAGTCTTAGAGTATTAAGGTCAGGAGTGGCTTTTGCTGTCGTGTCCAAACTCTTAATAACCCCATTTTTGGGGTTTGCCCAAAGAGTAGTTTACCATTTCCTTCCTCAGCTCACTTTGCAGATGAAGAAACTGAGGCAAATAGGTCAAGTGATTTGCTTACACATCGAGTAGGTATCTCAGGTCAGATTTGAACTCAGGTCTTTCTGACTCTAGGCCCAGTGCTCCATTCACTTGCCACCTAGCTTTCCCCTACCTACCTACTCAATCCTATCCTAGACTATTCCAATTCTGTTTTTGGATCCTAGATCTAAAAGCTGGAGGGACCCTAGTCCAATGACCTCATTATACAGTTAAGGTTAAATGACTTGTCCAAACCAAATGTCTAAGGAGGGGATTTGAACCTAGATCATCCCAACTGCAGGTTTAGTGCCTTATCTACTAGGCCACAATGCTTCTACCCAACCTATATTGTCTCCTTTTGCTTCCCAGTACTCTCCCTCTCTTCCTAGGGCAACTAAGTGGCATACTGTGTAGATGACTCAGCTTCCTGAATTTGAATATGGCCTCAGACACTTACTAGCTATGTGATCTTGGGCAAGTCACTTACCTGTTTGCCTCAGTTTCCTCATCTGTCAAATGAGCTGGAGAAGGAAATGGCAAATCATACCAGTATCTTTGCCAAGAAAATCCCAAATGGGGTCATGAAAAGTCAGATATAACTGAAAAGACTAAACAACAAAGGCCTGTTTCATTTACTTCATTAGAGTGGAAGTTCCTTGAGGGCAGGGACCCTATATCAAGTCTCTTCTAGAAGAGACTAGAATAGGCCTGGTCATAGGGCGTGGTGGAAAACTCTGGAGCTAAAAGACCTGGGTCTGGCTCTTGGTTCTGCCAGTTACTAGCTGTGGGATCCAGAGCTTAGCAGCTTTAGTGCCTGTTGCACAGTAGGTGCTTAATAATTGTTTATTGATTGACCTGGGCAAAACTGCCTTACCTCTCTCTGAGCCTCGGTTTCCTCCTCATTGAAACAGGGATAATGATCCTTGTACTACCTGCCTTTATGGGTTCTTGTGACAATCTGAGCAAGGTAGAGCATGGTAGAGACAGTGGTGTTAACATCTGTCATTCTGATGATCCCGGCTGATCAATCATTCCCGCTGCTCTGCTCCAGGGCCGGAGTCAGCCGGAGTATTTGAAGCAACTGTTTCAAGTGGCCGACAAGGACAAAGACAACCAGATCTGCTTTGACGAATTTATCTACATTGTGGGAAAGGTGATGAAGGACTATCACCTGCAGTACCACCGGCAGCTGTGTGCCCACTACTGCCGGGCAAATGACCTGCACTGAAGGATGCACCGATTCCTCCTGACTCCTTTCCCGCCACAGTGCCCTGGAGACCTCAGTGATGCCAGCATCTGTGGGTTACCAGGCCATGTGGGACGCTGGGAGCAGGGATGCTTTTTGAGTCTGGGTTTGACTGACGTTCTATAGCTGTTTGACCATGGACAAGCTATTTTACATTTCTGAAAAGAGGTTTCCATCTCTGTAAAATGAAGATAATAATAATTGCAATGCCAGCCTCACAGGATTGTTATGAGAAAATTACTTTTGTAATTACTTTTGAAGGGTTACGGACATGAGAATATTTTTCAGTTAGGGACCGGGGCTGGGAGTGGGGAGATATTTCAGCTTGTAAAACAAAAACAAGGTGGATATGGAACCAGGCATTGCTTATTTTGCAGGGAGATAGAGTGGGGATATGAGGGTAGGGGTAGGGAAAGGCAGTTCTTTACCACTTGCCATGGGCCAGTGACTTAACCTCTCAAAGCCTCAGTTTTCTCATCTGTAAAATGTTGATAATACTTGCACTGCCTACCTCAAAGGGTTGTTTTGGGGAGAGCACTTCATGAGCTCTTGTTATTTTTTTATTTAAGCTGATACGGGGGCATAAATAAAGTAACTTCCTATCTTTGGGGTTCTACTAATCTTTCTCTGAATACTCACCTGTGGGCAGAACCTGAGCCTCTATAAGCAAGAAGAGAGATTTTTCAGGCCTCAGGAAACTCAGTCTGATGGAGGAGACTTACCCTCGTGGAGCTCCTAGTCCAATAGGGGAAATATTCCCTGTCCTGGGAGTTCTGGATCAGTCTGATGGGGGAGACTTTTTTTGGCTATGGGGGTGTCACAATGTTGTTGACTCACAATGAGCTTGCAGTCTCCTGACACCCACAGATCTCTTTCAGACAACTGTTTCTCACCGTGCCTCCTACATCCTGTGCGTTTTGACCCCGCAGAGAGGAGAAGGTAAATAATCCTGCCAGCCAGAGCCCTAGATGCTAGTACTGGGGAGAAAGGACACTGGGAGCAGAAACTGAATCAAGCTAGGGAGAGTTCAGTCTGGGAATGCTTCATTTGGAAGGTGTTTCAGGAGCTGGATGAGGAAGGAAGAGAGGAAGGAAGGCAGCTGTTCTCTGAGTGAGAAGAATGAAGATCTTAGGAAAATAACTTAGAAGGGACCTGGAAGGGACCTTAGAAGTCATGCAGAATAACTCAAACACTTAATAACTGTGTGACCCCAGGTAAAACATTTCATTTCTATCTTTCTCAAATTCCTCAACTATAAAAGAGGGATAGAGGCACTAGGTGGCACAGTGGATGAAGCATCTGGCCTAGGGTCAGCAAGACCTGAGTTCAAATCCTGCCTCAGACACTTACTATCTGTGTGACCCCAGGCAAGTCACTTAACCCTGTTTGCCTCAGTTTCCTCATCTGTAAAATGAACTGGAGAAGGAAAGGGCAAACCACTCTAACATCTTTGGCAAGAAAACCTCACATGGGGTCATGAAGAATCAGACATGACTGAAATAACTCAACAACAAGGCCACCATCCATTATTGTTGTTGTCCTGTCCTTCAGTCATGTCCAACTCTTTGTGATCCCATGGACTTTTGTCTGTGGGGTTTGCTTGGCAAAGATACTGGAGTGATTTGCCATTTCCTTCTCCAGTGTGTCCCCATTTTCCAGATGAGCAACAGAGGCAAATAAGGTTTAAGTGACTTGCCCAGGGTCATACAGCTAGTAAATGTCTGAGGCAGGATTTGAACTCTAAAACCATTGTTCTATCTGCTGTACTATGTAACTGCCACTATGCCACCATCTATCCCTTTCTCTAAATCATTGATACCCCAGATCATACTCCATTGGAGACATTCCAACATGTTGACTTTGAACCTTTAGCAACCACTCTTTCAGTCTGGCCATTCAACCAGTTCTGAATATATTTGTCTGTAATCAGGCTTCTGAAAACAGAATGGTGGAAAAGATGAGCCAAAAAGAGTGGAAGAAAAGGGTGAAGCCTCACAAGATGGCAGAAAAGAGAATGAATGGCTCAGTCTCCTCAGTTTTAAAGACACAGGCAGCCAATCAAAGGAGACCACCCCACCCACGTGGATGCATTGGACTCCATGTCAGGTAAACTGAGCATGCCTGAAAAGGGCCCTCAGGAACAGCTTCATGTTAGAGCTGGTCATGGCCAGAAGCTGTTCTTAGGCAATCATCTTGTCATTCAGTGCACATATCTCTACCTTTTCCAAGAATATTATGAACTACTTTACAAAATGACTTGCTAAAACCTAAGCAAACTGTATCTAAAGCATTCTCCTTATGTGCTATTTTACTAACCCTGTCAAAAAAAGAAAATAAGGTTAGTGTGGCGTGACTTATTCTTGATGGAGTTATACATACTGGCTCCTGGTATTCACTTGCTTCCTTTTCTAGATGTTCCCTAATAATCTCTTGAATGATTTAGGATTTTCCCAGTCATAAAGAACTTAAGTTCATTGGCTTATAGTTTGCAGATTCCCTTCTCTCTCTCTGAAAATGGGGGCAATGTTTCCCCTTCTCTAGTCTGTGGTGCCTCTCCTGTTCTCCATTAGTTGTTTTTCAGTCGTGTCAGACTCTTTGTGATTCCATTGGGGGTTTTCTTGACAGAGACACTGGAGTAGTTTGCCATTTCCTTCTCCAACTCATTTTACAGATGAGGAAATTGAGGCAAACAGGATTAAGTGACTTGCCCAGGGTCACACAGCTAATGTCTGAGACTTGATGTGAACTCAGAAAGCTAGGCTTGGCTCTCTATCCGCTTTGCCACGTAGCTACCCTAGAAGGGGATTAGCACTTATTAAGTGCCTCTATCCACTGCACCATCTACATGGCCCTCCTTCCAGAATATTGTCTTCCATAGCCTCTATCCAGCTGTTTCTCAATAAGGGCATCCAAATGAGCAAATATTTATTGTTAACATCATTTAAACCACCAGCTTAAAAGACAAAGCAAATATTAAAAACAAAGAGAAACAGATTTTCCCTGTGCCCAGAGGAAAGGCTTTAGGTTCCCAAGAAGAGAAAGGAAATAAGGAATTATTGCCTTGGGGTTTGCCTGTGGGGGCCTTCAGACCACAGTCTACCCTGACAGCATGCATACCTGGCCTCCTCACTTTTGGAGTCCTTATGCCCCATCAGTCTGAGTGCCCACTCTCTTAGCTTCCTGTGGCTTCTCTAGGCCTTCTCTCCTTCAGTTTGGAAGGCTTCCTTGAGAGCTGGGTTTTTTTTTTTTTTGATAAATAGAGCTGGCAAGCTTGCTTCTTCTAGGTCCACCAGGTATGTGGGCAGTCTCTGGCTCTGCCAGGGTCACACTCCCTTTTCAATTTAGAGCCAGTGAGGTAGTATAGTGCATAGAGTGCTGGACCTAGAATTGGAAAGACATGAGTCCAAATCTGGCTTCAAACACTGTGTGACCCCGGGCAAGTTACTTAACCTCAGCCTGCCTCAGTTTACTCAACTGTAAAATGGGGATAATCATAGTTCTTACCTAATGAGGATCAAATAAGATAATATTTATAAAGTACTTAGCACTTTACTATGTGCCAGACCCATAGTAGGTGCTTAATTAATGCTTATTTCCTTATTCCTCTTCCGATTCAATTAGGAAAACATTTATTTAAAAAAAAAAAAATATATATATATATTTTTTTTTTGGTGAGGCAATTGGGGTTAAGTGACTTGCCCAGAGTCACACAGCTAGTAATATGTGTCTGAGGCCAGATTTGAAGTCAGGTCCTTCTGACTCCAGGGCTGGTGCTCTATCCACTGTGCCACCTAGCTGTCCCTAAAAAATATTTCTTAAAAGGATAGCAGAGAGTAGATATGCTTTTGCACTTAGTTTCACATGTTAAAATTTCATTAATGCTGCTATTTTTTCCTTACTTTCTATAACTTTAAATTTTAAATTTACATGTGATTTAACATATTAAAACTTCATTAACTCTGTTATCTTTTCTTTAGCTTCTGTAAATATCAATTGAGCTGGAGAGTAAGGGTGGAGGAGTTGATCAGGAAGTACCAACCAAGTCTCCCCTAGTAACCATCTACCTCAAATAGTGGTCCTACTGCTTCTTTAAGGGCAGCTAGGTGGTGCCATAGTGAACAGAGTGCAGGGCTTGGTGGCAGGCAAAAAGACTCATCTTCCTGAGGTTAAATCTGTCCTCAGACACTTATTAGCTGTGCGACTATGAACAAATCACTTCACCCTGTTTGCCTCAGTTTCCTCATCTGTAAAATGAGCTGGAGAAGGAAATGGTAAACAAGTCCAGAATCTTTGTCAAGAAAACCCTTCAAAAAGGGGTCATGAAGAGCCTGACATGACTGAACGGAATGATTGAACAAGTTCTATCTATATATTGTGAAAGTTATGAGCCCCGCTTACAAAAAGAGTTGAAACCTCTCAAGCCCCCGTATTATGTATGAATCTAACCGCAAGGCATGTGCCACCCTCTTCCCACCCCTTAGTAAAACAACTCTTTTTAATATAAAGAAGCACATAAGTTTCATAGTCACACCCATGGGTTACTCTCCCAGACATAAGTTTCATAAAGATAAGCTTAGGTGGCCCCAAGGCATTGTCTGAGCTCACATTGTGTTCGTACCCCAGATAAACCTCCAACGTCATCCCTTACACACAATTACACCCTTCTAAAAATTGTATAAAAAACCCATGGTTTTGTCCACGAGTTATCCAGCCTTAGCCAGAACAGACCAGCCAGCTTGGTTACCAAGGCTGACTTGTTGGCAGGGTGGGGGAGCCCGCCTCACTCTGCCCACCGGAGCTACCATCTGGTAGCTTACAGGTAGTCCTTGTGAGCACAAACAGCTCCCAACAGTCTTGCCCAACACCATCCCTGGCCCTAGGCTTTTACACCTGCCTTTACAATAAACACTGTGCATCACTCCTGATTGGACCTGAGTTATTCACAGCACTGGCACTTTATGTCACTTTTTGACACTGTTCAGCCCGATATCTCTCCTCAACTCCGGTTCCTCACCACCAACTGCCTATTGGACTTTAGAACTGGATGTTGATGGGTATCTTAAACTAAATGTGTCCAAAACTAAATTCTTATCTTTTCCTCAGAGTCCATCCTCTTCCAAATTTCTCTTTTGCTGTTGGGAGTATCATCCAGGTTCCACCTTTGACTTTTCATGGTCATTCACCCCTCATACTCAATTGGTTGCTAAATTGTTACTACCTCCACGGTATCTCACACACATTTCCTTCCTTCCATTCACACAGGCCTTCCCCTCCTTCAGGCTCTTACCACATCCCACCCAGATTATTTCTACAGTCTCCTAATTGTTTTCCCTGCCTCAAGTCTCTAGACATTCAAAACCATCCTCCAGACAATGTTTTTCTTTTTTCTTTTCTTTTCTTTCTTTTTTTTGTTTTTTTGTTTTTTTGGTGAGGCAATCGGGGTTAAGTGACTTGCCCGGAGTCACACAGCTAGTAAGTGTTAAGTGTCTGAGGCTGGATTTGAACTCAGATCCTCCTGACTCCATGGCCAGAGCTCTATTCACTGTGCCACCTAGCTGCCCCCAATGCTTTTCTTAAAGCACAAATCCGCACATCATTCCCTTACTCAATTAACTCCATT